TTCTATTCTATTCTATTCTATTCTATTCTATTCTATTCTATTCTATTAACACTAGAAAACGTTTGAGATAAAGTCACATTTATGTTAGACAAAATGAATTTTCATGCTGATAGCTTGTTATCTTCAGTAAGTATAGAACTTTCTGAAGATCACTAAATGTCCAATAAAACATCAAAATCTTACATAAAATAAAAAATTTCTTTCCCTACAGCAATCAGTAATTTTAAACTTTGTCACACACTTTTATACTGACATTCTAATTTTTCTTCTATAAAAGGATAAAAAAACTGAAAACAAATCCCCATCAACCAAAGAATCTGTTTTATACACAATCTTTTGGATCTTATTCACACATTCCTAAATGCTGGAGAATATTGGCATGGGTCCTGACAGTCCAGCAGTCAGGTCTTTTGATTTCTCTGTAAAACAACTGGTGTCAAGGCAGACAACAGCAGCAGGTGTTGAGGTGTTTTCCCATCAAAGTTTTTTTTATGGAATACTTACTAAAGCTAGTTTGATACTGTAACACTTGTGAGGTTTATGATCTGACCACAAACTCTTTGAACAATTTAGGAATGTATTGTTTACCCAGCAATAGTTTCTATAAAACCACCAGAGTTTCAGCCACTAGACTGTCACATTTTCAGATTTTTAAAAAAGCGTAGCATAAGTTAAAGAGTAACTTACCCCAAAATTAACTTTTTTTAGCTAATAAACTGTCTAGAATGTGTCTAAAATGTTATATAGTACTGTTTCCGTGCTAATTTTGATGTTTTTGTGTGTATTTGTTCAAATCTGTAATATTTGGTCTAAAAACGTCTTTTTGCTGCGCATATGGGTAGAGCAGTGGTACTGCAGGCNAGATAAATAATAATAAACAAGTTAAAGTGCAAAGGTTTTAGACTAATGAATTGGAAAGACTTATAGGCAGATTTTATGTGTATAGTTTTACAGGACTAAATCCTGTAAAAGTGAGCTGGCTTTATTTGAGCTAAAACTTTGTAGTTACATTTTCTTTTGTCGTAAAAACTGTCCATACCAAATTCAGTTCTTTGACAGCTTTTCGGGTCTGACTTGAAGTACTACTAAAAGGTGATGTAACCCACAGCCTTCTGAAACTGTTATGTTAACATACATAGGCCTCTTTTACATGTAGCTGGTTTTCAGCAAAACCGCAATATTTTTGTTGCGATCCAGCCACTCGTTTACACGTCACTGATGATCAGCGTCTCTGACACTTTTTGAAACCAGGTTTTAGAGTTGAATTTTTCTCGAACGCCTCCTGGGAGGTGGGAAGTACTCCGCAGGTGTGAAAACGTGCATGCAAACAGACGACTGCAGCTAAAGTTTCCTAACATCAGTTACAATAAATTACAGACAGCAGAGTGGTTTTTGTGTTACTCACTCTTCAAAGCAGGTAGGAGCAAAGAGAAAAGTCACCCTAGGTCTAAAGGAACATCAGTTTATTTACTAATTCAAACATAACTGTGATCATGCTGATACTGCATGATCAGTGCTGCAGAGGTTCCATGTAAATGGGTGATTTTTTTTCGCCCAAATTAACATTGACAAAAACCCCAACATTTCCAGAGACCAGTCTCATGTAAACGAGGCACTAGACATCAGCTACTGCTGCTGTTTTTAACACCTCACTTCACAACACGATGCACCCAGCCACCATCTGCCTAAAACCAACACAAAAGACTCTTTGTGAACCTCATGTTTGGCTTTGCACAGCTCCTCTTTTACTTTCCTGAGTCACATCTCTTTCTGCTCCTTTCCTCTGAACTCAGTGCACTTCTTTTCCTCATTTACCACCTAATGTTTTATATTATTGTGTTTAATCTGCTGAACTGATAAGTTTTATCCAAGTTTGAAGGCATCAGTCTTACCTGCACATAGTCAACACTCCTCCCCAGAGCTTTGAAGGCTGTATACATGACCTCTCTTTTTCCTCCCCACTTCTGCATTATGCAGACACACTTGTTGTTCAGCACAAGCTTGGAAACTTGCTGAAGGCTCTCGGCGTAGCTTTCATCCATCTCCCCAGAGCCTTTGTTGTGATAATTACTTCGCCACACGTATGTGGCCACTTTGTCCCATCCCATAACTTCTTTAAAAATTTCCATCATGTACATGTCGTCGTCCGAATTCCCATCAATCACCATGATGACCTTGATCCCAGGATATGTCAGCCTCTTGACTGACACCAGGCACTTTCTCAGGTAGTTTGGGTCCTCTTGATACGCTGCAATGCACAATGCCAGCGATTTATTCAGTTTAATGGGCGTCTCTAAGGAGCGCCGCATGTTTCTGTGTTCTAAGAGTGCAAAGAGACTTTGAATGATGAGATGTACAACCAAGATAGCACCATATAAGCCAAAGGACAGGTGGTTGTGGGCTGTTGTGAAGAACTGGTAGCCCATGATGTAGGCAGTGGAAATGCCCACCAGGAGGGACACTCCAAACATGGTGGTTCCAATTATCCTCAGGTAGATTAAAACTCTCTGGCACTTCATCTGTGGACAAAAGGAACAAATTAAGTTTAGTGATATAGCTATAAAATGTTTATGATAAATGAACATTTGATTTTTTTTTTCATCTTCAGATACAACAGCAAGTGTGTTTTGTCTTGTGTTCATATCAAGGAAGTCCAGACAACAATGTTTAACAATGATGTGTCTTGTTATTTTGATTAGTAAAATTTCAGCTAAAGAAACACATTTTCTCTCCCTTGTCTCCCTTTTTACCATCCTTCCCTCATCTAAATGTCAGACAGTTGCATGTAGCAGATTGTTCCAACTCTCTTTTAGAGACATAGCCAACACACATTTCAAGATTTCTTGACCTAATTAACCAAAAAACTGGCTCCTTCTGCCAACTGTCCTGACATAAGGTTTAAATGCTGAACAACAACAATAATGACAAAAATGACCTTTTCTGCAACATTTTTCTTTACAAATAAAAACATTTAAGTCAGTCACTATGAAAGACTATACAAATCTACAAATGTTAGCTCTGGTTTTATGAGACCAACTTTAAAGACCATTCCCAGCTTTTGTATCTGATCCTTCCTGGACCTTGCTACGAAACGTCTCCAGCTCAAACTCCTGAATTTTGCTTCCAGCCCCTCATTATTGTCACTACCAACATCTGTTTAGCAGACCAGCAGAGACCCACTCAGCGTGGCTCGGCTCGGCTCAGCTCAACGCAGAGTGGACCACCCTGTGATGTCATCTGTTTAAATCTCCGTGGGAAGAAGACAAGAGCTTTTTAATGTTCTTATGCTCCACAAGTACTTCTTTCATTCTGTGACTCCTTATAAACATGTACAAGAAAATGATTTCCTTTGCTGACCTTTTCATCTAATGCTACTGAGTCAGCACCACAGTGGGTGTCCCCTTGTTTATTATAATTTAACACTGAGCTGCATTTTTGTGCACTTGATAAAGTTACTTTGCCATTTGGTGAGAATTAAGTGAGCTTAACAGGCAAAAAAAAGCAAAACATTTTAATAAATCCTGTATGCAACTTATTGTGAGTTATGCACGTTGTTAAAATCAGAAAGACGTAAATCGGGCAAACAAGGTCATCAAAAGAAGCGTACACAAGCCAAGTGGTGTTTGTGATTTGGCAACAGTTCCTCACACCACCCCAAACTCACAAAAACAGATGCAGGGAGGGGAAGAAAAATACACAGAAAATGAAACTGAAGAGCTTTTGGAGGTATTGGAGAAGAGCTGGAGAGCAGGGTCAGGAGAAATCACAGTTTTAGACACAGTAGTGACAAGGAACAAAAGTGCCTGACAAACAGAGCAAGAACCTTTTAGAGTAATACAGTAGAAGGAGTGAAACTGGCTCAGTTAAGCGTAATAAACACACACACACACACACACACACACACACACACACACACACACACACACACACACACACACACA